TGGTTTTAAAAATGTTACTGGAAGAGAAAACAGCCTGCACTGTAGGAAGTACCTTACATAGGAGCCAAGACTTAACAAGAAAAATTATTTTCATCATTCTCTCCTGTTCATCTAGAAAATTTGAGGAGAATTTGAAGATCACCCTTAAAACTAAATTTAAACTTATTTCTGTCTGTTATATTTAGACATGTCAAGATTTTATTAACATGATATTTTGAAGATCCTGTTTAAGCAATTTATTAGAGATCTGGTTATTTGACTTGTCTATATTAGTCAGGTTTTGTGCTCTTCTTCAAGTGGATGGAAGGAAATAGTTTAGGTGAATCACCCTCCACATCTTCACCCTTGCCTTTGGATGGGATGAATCACTCTAGGCTCTCTAGAGCTTATAACTTCCTGAAGGCTGCAAGGGAACCAAGCAAAACCAGATATAGATAACTTGTATGTAGGACCAGTATTTCATTCCAGAATCACATTGAAGTCAGAGAAAAAATTCCCATCACTGTCAGCTTCTATAGGGCCTCCATCCTTTGTCATGTGAACTGACAGCTGTGGGACTACTGCCACCAATCCTACAAGAATAATGTGCCTCTGCAAAGTACGCATTTTTTTTTAAAGTGCGGGTGGTGGAAGTTCTGGTAGCTGGTTTTCCTGATCCAGAATATGACTCATTCTCATGCACTCATAAAAACAGTTCTGTCCCAGCTGTCTGCATTCATATTTGGTCAATTTCAAACCCCTACCCTCAAAACAAGCACAGCAATACAGAAGACCTTTCACTAACTTTTACCTTTCCATCTGCAGTGAATGAAGGTACCTGGGATGACATCTGAGCTTTGTGAGAATTTTAACATTGACTTCAGCAAGCCTGAGTGTGTGTCCCAGAAAAGCTCCCCTTTCTGTGGGCTAAAAGCCTAAACTAAAAAAAAAGTATATAGTATAACAATAAAATATATGCAAATAATTCATTACCCATCTTACAATTCCTTTAACATCAGAACATGCTCACCTCCTCTGAAGATTCATAGTATGTCTTGCCATTGCATTTGAGGTGATGATAATGCAACACTGCTGTTTGCTGACAATAGTTATTTAACAGCAAAAATATGTAAGCCAACTATGAAAAGATAAAGAGATATAGGGCTAATCAAAAACTGAAATTGAAAGAAAGAACTTTCAGAAATTGATAAGACGTGCCATTATCTGGGATAATGGAACTAAAAAGACAATATATTTCTCATCTTTATGAATTCTAATGATAAAATTAAATACTCAAAAAACCCTTACAACAGATTTGCAAAGTAATGAAACTGCTATATTTGGAAAAGTTTTAAGAATTGTTTCTGTATCACTATCATAAAGTAATGTAAACGTACTATAACATTTATTAAATCATAGAAATCAGAAAAAAATGTCTAACCTTAAAATAGTCAAATTCAGAGCATAAACCTTGAAACAATATTCAAATAAAGTTTTCCTATCTCACTGGTCAGCAGTGTACAAGTTTGAGGAGAACACAGTTATCTAATGCTTAATAAATCTTTTTCTTCTACATTACACATAACTTCCAAACCAAATTTTACCTGTACACGTTTCACAGCAACACAAACACCTTTAAAGTGAAATGTAGTTTTGTGCAATCTATTCTATGAAGTCAATCTGCATGGAAAATTTATTTTTGAACCACAGTTCTGTCAACTTTAGATGCAATAATGCAATAATGACTCTACTTTGGCAATACTGTGATGAAAGCTTTACTGAAACAAGTGGATTTTTTTCTTTGTTTTGTGTGGATTTTTAGGCACAACACCTGTAGTACTTTGAGGTAATTCACTTCATTAGGGAAGGCTGCATTAGCCCAAGGAAAATTATAATGAAAGAGACATAAGAGGTCCTGTTAAAGATAGAGGTTTGTTTATCAGAGGAGGGGGCAAAGCCCCATTTTGGTGAAAGAAGTAAAAGGTAACCAGACATCACTAGAGATACAGTAAGTTCAATTTATGCATGGACAGCTGGCCAGTAGCTGCTTCGGTGAAGGTGCTGTATAGAATTGGAGTTGTGTCCCCACTGACAATGTATTGAGAAGTTATTGGGTAAATCTGAGAACCATTTAAATGCAAATATAATGTGACATTGTCAGTGATTAAAAACAATCTTCCAGACAATGGCGTTAATAATTAGAAACCATCTGGTACCATGAAATCTTACAATCCTTTCAGTATTTCCACAGGCCAAAAGGATGGAATTTATCTCCTACAGAAACAGAAACACCTATGCTATATGTTAGTGCTCTGACAATTAATATGCAAAACCAGATCCATCTTTTTCCAGATGTTTTTCCTCTGGGTCTGTCCTAGAAAGTAAATAAATGGAAGTCTGGAAGAGATAGTGCCATAAACTTCACAAAGGAAATTTAAAGACAACATGCAAACAGAGATGAATACCTGAAAAGATGAAGGAGCTGTGTTGAAAACTTTGCCTCTTTTTTACCTGATAAGAATATAAAGGCCATAACGCAAGTTGATAATTCAGCTGTCAGATCTCTTTAAAAAATTATGTTCTGTATTTTTAGTATTTGGTATGTAGATGTGGATTCAAAATAGATTAATTAATGTAAACCCTTTCTCTTTTCTCGCCCTTAGAAATTATTGGGTTGGAATTTTCATGCTGTAAAGATCAAAATGAAAATGTTCTAGTCTGTCCATCAAAACCTAAACTGTCTTTCATTATCTTTGTTTTCAAGCTAATATACCCTAAAGAATGTATGGGCAGGTTATTCTCTATTAAAAATAATTCAATAACATCACACTTTCAGTCTTCATCTGAGACATTAAGTAAATACTGAAAAAAGATAATTTTAAATTTAAATTGGCAATTGCAGTAATTGTCTTCTTCAACATTGTGTTCACATGACATTTACAATTGTCATCTTCACTCTGTAGCTTGCATGAGTTGAAAACAATAGATAAATTCAGCTTCCAAGTTTATTAGTGATAACCAGCTATTAAGGATATGGAAGAAAGCAAAAATTAAGATATTTCATTTTGAGAATTTCAATAGCTAGAGAAATAACAGGAGAGCCCCATTGTAAGCACAAAAGTTAGCAGTTTCTATACACAATTAAACTGTTGAAACATCCCAGTGTGTGGCTATCAAAGTAAAGAGGCGGTGGTGTATCCACTGTAGTTCTGATCTGAATAATGCAAGTTTCAAGGCTGAACAGTCAACATCTGCAGACTGTCTTAGAGTCTGTGTTTCTCAGATACAGCTGTGTTTCTCAGACAATAGGCTATAGAAACTGAAACTGATCCTAAACTTTATTCTTTCATGTGCCAAGGTCATATCTCTATCTGCTTTTCTTATAATTCATGGAATATTTTCTTTCAAAACCTTCTCTCTGAAAAAAGATATGCCAGAAATACTGAAACTGAACCACCAAAATAGTGAGTAGCAAATGTATTGACTGTGTGTGAATAGTGTTTAAGTGTCTGCACGCCTGTGTCTGTGTGTAGCAGATTTTCACATCTCAGTTTAGGAGCAGTATTTTTCCTTTGTGGAGGTGAGTATGGCAATTGAGACTTTCTTTCAAGTACTCAAGACATAGGATTTCCTTTTTATTACTTGTACTGTGAAATATATAAGCTCTGAGCAATGAAACTGATTTCCTAGGACAAATCAATTTGAGACTCACAGCTATGAATCAAAATAATTTTTCTGTTTCTGGGTTGAAATAGTCAGATTAAGAGATCTTGATATGCTTCTTCTTCTAACATACACTGCTCTTATACAAAACCAAAATTCTCTCTGGTATTTATAAAAAAAATGCCACAACTCATTAATAGATTATTTTATAAACTTATTTCAACCATTACACAATGTATAAAAAAATCAAAACCATTTGCCAACAAGAGTGCTTCGTTCAATATCCCTGTATGTAATAGTTGCTTAAGTAACTAATTTTCATATTAGAATCCATTTGTTCTCTTTTTGTACATGAGAGGAATTATTTTCCTATGTGCTTCTGTCTTTCAGTAGTAAATAAACCTTAATCAATGAGACAAGCCTACATAAATATTCACTTCCCTATAATTTTCAGTTCATTTTCTGTGCCACCTTGTCCATCAGCATGGTTTTCTAATAGTCAACCATTCCACCTCTCTTCTCAGCTAATGCATACACATTATTTTAAAAAGATAATCTAGCAATAAGGAATTCCAGATATATTTGAAACAGTGATAATTTTATAGATAACTACAGAGCCAACATAATTTCAAAGATTTCTAAGAGTGAAGGTCTTACATGGTCTGTAGATAATAAAAATTTCTAGCTATAACACATAAATTTTCTGCAGAACACTGTCTGAACCAGCATAATATGCAATTTGCCACACCACAGTGACATACTTGAATGAATTCTTGCATTTAGTGTTTCTGCATTATTTAAAAAAACTCCAAACCAGAAGTAAAGGAAAAAAGGGGATTTATCTTAATGGACAACTGAAAAGGAAGTTTAGTGACAGCCCTGTAGTTTGGTTGCTTTGAATTTACACTCTGTAAAACACATGCAGATTCTTTTTCAAGCTGTAGATGTAACTCATCATCTATAAAGTCTTTATTTTGTAACATCACTCACAGAACTGATCCTCCAAATCCCCATTCATATTTTTCTTGACTTTTCTTGCCAAAGCTCTTGAGAGGTTTATAGTTTGTGCCCTTCACAGTTTGTTAGCTTATTATTACTGAATTAAAATATATTAACATAAATGACAGAAATAATTTATAGAGCTTAAAGGAAAACAATTCCAAAATATTTTGGCAGTATTATAATAGATTTTTTTCAAGTATATAAAGAAGGATATTATAAACATTCTCTCACAAGTTAGGAAAACAGATTAATTACAGAGGGAAATCTATAAATAGTTTTAATCAGTGTTATTGCTGAAGTCTAAGAACTAGCAAAAAGAAAATAATACAGTGAAGTGAAGAGACTATACAAAAGAATGAGCTTAATATTTATTTAAAAATTATCCAGTATAAGAGCAAATTTCAAAAAACAGACTCCAAAGTCAACCTCAGAACTGTATCTATAATTTACATATAGAGATTTACAGTTTAATTGCATTATAATCTACAGTCATATCAATCTGACTTATAGAATATAACTTAGGAAAATGTAATGGTAAACGTTTCCAGTGTTCAAATAGAAGTTTTGACCTATACAACATTTTAAACTGCAAAAATGGGGTCAAATAAGATCATATCAATCAAGGGAGATGCAAACCATGACAAGAGTCACCTAGTAAGGCATTGAACTTATTATAAGAAAACAAACTATAGAGTGAAATAATGATCCAAATTACAATACATACTTTGATCATAATGTTTCCCCAAAATTTGTGTAAACCAACAAGATTAATCAATTTAATTTCTAATGGAAAAAGAAATTTGGATTAAATATAAAAGCAAGAATTCCTGAGGAATTTCACTGTATCATTATATCTCCCAAACAGAATTTTCAAGCATGTCCATTTCTCTTTCAGTCAACCAAGAAACTCTGCCTTTATGGAATTACCTCAGAAACACCAACAATCTGTCCCATATTATTTATTTATTAGTTTTGACTAAAAGAAAAAAAGTTAACTAAATATTACAAGTAACTCTTTCAAAGGTGCCACATAAAATAACAATTTTCTCTCTGTGCATGTCATTATGTGAAAGAAATGAGGAACAAAAGAGTCTGTTAAAAAATATCAGATTTTGACAGAATTTTCTACAAGTACAAGGCAGCAATCACTTCAGAGTGTTGGCAAGAAATGGAAAATATGAGCACTTTCACATAGGAGGAAAGGGAGAAGAATGTGTCTAGGGTGTCTGAATTTAAGATGTCCCTGAACATCTGGCAAAAATCTTTTAAACTCTTTCTTCTTCCCTTTGCAAATCATTTGCTTCAAAATTGTGAAAATTACAATTGGCAGTGTCTAAGTCCTCTCTACTGCTACAGGAAGGATTTTTGGAAGTCCAAAGGCTGTATCAACAACTTCACTGTTCAATCTCTGGATTTTTAAAAATTTGCTGATTGCAATGTTTTAAGGTTCTCAGTTTGCGTCATGAGGATGGAGGAGAAAGCAAATTATGTGCCCAAATATATACATGTATTTTTCAGTTGTCATATTTGTTTCTTTCATAACAGATATAGAGATAGAGGTAATTTTGGGACATAATTAATCAGATCAATATTGAACAACTGAAGTAACATGACAAGATTTCTGCTACAAAAGTATTATCTTTAGAGGCATCTCAGACACAGAGACAGTCCTGCAGAGGTCCAAGTCAGACATGTAACTAATCAAGATGATGAAGCCAAAAGCCCTGAAGCCATTGCTTTGCCTCTATTATCAGGAATTCAGGATTTCAGACATTTACATGACTTAATTAGAACTTTTCATTTGGAAAATAGATTCAAGAGTTAGGGGAGATTTAATTTTTTTTTCCTAAAAAAGTCAAAACAACCACTACTAAACAAGAACTTTGCAAATCCCTTCTATTTGTTATTTTTAAGTGAATCCTTTAGTTGCCTTCAATTTTGTACCACATTGACATTCTCTATAGTAACTTGAAAATCATCATTCTTCATAGACTGATGATTTGGTTAAGTACTATCATTACAGTTTTTGTGACTGAAAAAGTAAAGTCTCTGTTGACATTATTATTTTTACTTCTGAACATCAAAAATTCACATACTAGAGTTCTGGGAATTTTACTCTTAAATAATCTTGTTTCCCTTGGAAACTAAGAGATATTCAGAAATGTATCAGCTTTGTTTCTCGTAATTAAACAATTTATTTTGTGAACATAAATCCCTACTTCCCAGACCAAAAATTCTGAATGTGACCAGCAATGCTTAGACTTGTAAGGGTTTTCTTTGCTTTTAAGATACACTGGGTGCTCCTCATGAGCAGTGAGCCACACATACAGCCATAGTCATGGGTGAAGTATGAGTATTATTGTCTTCATTATCTTCTAAGATCTCAGGAAAGGATGCCACTTTAGCAGATTTTGCTGGGAGTTTATTCATTTTAGGTAGTAAAGGCCTGATCCAAACCCCGATGAAGTCAATGGAAAAAGTCTCCCATTGACTACAATGGGCTCTGGATCATGCCCTAAGTCCATTTTCTTCATTAATTCAGGATTAATAATAGGATGTCTTTCCAGTAGCCTGGAGTGCCTAAGATCCCAGAAATTTCAGCTGAACAAATTCACTTTAAATGGTAATTCCATTTGGAATTTGAAATATGAAGTCGTGATCTTTTTCAGTGAGAAGAAAACTTTAAATGGAGGCATTTTCAGTTCGTGGTTGTAGTCAATCCCACCAGTTCAGTGAAAATCCTTGGACATCCTAATGAGAAAATAGGAAGAGCAAATGGAGCCAAAGAAATTTATGTTTTTCAGGGCACACTTCAGAAATACAGTGTAGACTCTGGTTTGACCAATTAATAGATGCATGTTGATGTTTTTGGAGAGATCAATGTAGAACCTGACTACAAAGAACAAATTAAAAGATTACACCACACTAAAATATATGCTGTACTTTTAAAAATTAACAGATAAGGAGAGACATGACATTTTTCAAAATGTTGTCTCAGTTTGCACAACAAAGCACCATCAGTTCATAAATAATAAAAAGTGACAAAAAGACATTACAAATAGCAGCAATACCACTAAGTTTTCTGAATTCGCAGATCAGAAATTGTGAATTGTGACTGTTATACTAGTGTAAACTTTGACAGACAGAGAATAAGTGGATAGAATAAGAATAGTTCTGTTAAATCAAATATAAAATACATCTGTATTAGGATCCGTTTTTTATAAAAATAAAAATCTGAAACAAACACAGTTTATTATATTAATGTTTAAAAATTGCATTTCTGATAAAGTAATGAATAGATCAGCCATTTCAAAAGATCTCTGGTGCTAGTCACTAGTCACATTTCATTAAATTGTCATTAGCATTATTTATTATTTTACCTTGATTATTCATACTAACAAGAATAGCTCAAAAGTTGAAGCATGTTTTTTAACCCAATTACTAATTGTTCTACTAAACAATATCATCCAAGTTGCCATGTACCTTATGATAAGGATATTTCTAAAGTTATATTCTACTTTAAAAATCTTTACTTTAAAATACTTTAAAAATCAATGGAAATTTGCCATAATTTCAATAGTATATGCTATTTAAATATCAGCACATTCATTGACCTATAAATTCTTGCAAACATGCCACCATCCTCCCACTAAGCTAGTGAATCACATTAAAGTTTTGTGCTTTGAGTTTCACTTCTTTTTTTCAGAGGCATTTCTGCAATATTGTTTGATCACTCACATTTAGTTTTAAGCAATATAAAAGCCTGCTGACAATTCTTATACTCATTAATTTTAGAGATAAAGGAAGGAGATCTTAAATCTTCACATCAAAATATGGCAGTTTTCCAGAGGAATAGGTTTATTTTGCATATACATAAATACATACATAAATAAATACTTGCTCAGCCAAGGACTCTCCCAAAATACAAAAAAATTCATTTTAGGATGTATGGTATGAATCATCATGGACTCATGTATTTCTCTCCAAAATATCTGAATAGTATAATTAAATGATGTCATTTTTATCTCTTTCTTTGCCTTGATGAATTAAAAAAATAGTCATCTTATTACTTTGCTGCAAAATAATAATTTAATTTTTCGAATTTTGCCAGTTTCTGTCACAGGAAAATTTTCTTGTATAACAAGGTAACTTTAATGATATCTGAAACTCACATAATCATGACCAACATCAAGGAACACCTGATTTGAGTCTAACATGTTCTCTTAACAAGTCCTTTTTCCTCTCTCATCTAAAAATTCTGTCCAGATACACTACTTCAGCTTAGATATAGTATTTAGTAGCACAGAAACTACCCCAATTGCAACTCTGTTAGACAAATCCAAGGACTGTTCTAAGTTTAACTTATCTTTGTTTCATTCCTTCATTCTTGTTGAAATTCATTTTATTCAACATTGTTTTATCCAAGTCATAGTCTGAAAGAGAAAAAGAAAGCATCCCACCACCTGGATCAAATGAAAAAAAAAAAAGGAGAAAATTAATGAAGTTTAAATGATGTTTTCTGGAGCTAATATAGACAAAATGGTTTCCCATCTATTTGTTTAAATAAAAGGCATTAATTTGCTCTCATGTGGTTTTTAATTTGTCATTTATCACTTTCAGATGAAAGGTATGGCTGCAATCAGCAAGATCAACAGACATCAAAGCTCTTTAAGCAAGGTTTAGCAACTGCTTCCTTGACACATATATAGCTTGGCTACTAAAATTAGCCTGTGCCATTGGAATATAAATAACATCTTGATCTATGGTTCCCATTTGATTTAACTAAACAAATATTACATTCCTGTCTTACAGTGACATTGGCACGATTTCAAACCCTGGAAGCTGTCCAGTATGAACAGTGCATAGAAAAGACTGCACGTTGATTTTCAGACAAAAGAAAAAATATAAGTCAAGATGAAAGGCTTTACTGGAGAGGTATTCACAGCAAAAGGCTGAATTGAGAAAAATTCTTTCTTTACCTTACTACATTTAGAGCAAGGAACATAAAGTATGCAGAAAAACACTCAAGAACCCTCAGAGGGAAAAGTTAATGACATGATAACATCCAACATATCCTTTAAGCTAGTGTTAAAATCAACAATTAGACAAAGTTATTCAGACATCCAATAGGTTGTTTTCAGCAGTTTTAAGTCTTTTCAATATACATGAGACAGACATTTCAGATCAGTCTGTAATGTTCCTTAGAGACCTAGATAAATCAATAACCAAGGCAATAATGAATTGCAAAGACAGTTTTGTCATTAGAAAACCTTGTAAGTCACCAATAGTTTAATTCTTACAAGGAGTGCAAAATGCCCTCATGCATCTAACACCCTACACTCTGTAATTTAGGTTTTAAAGTAAAAAAGTAGATTTAATTACACAATTAGAAATGTTTTACTGACATGGCACATCAAGAGTTTGGATGGGATTTTACTTTCTCCCCTTCTAGTCCCCTGCTGTTATTAAACCCAAGTAAAAATTTAAATTTTACTTAATTTCAGATGCTCTAGAAAAGCATTCAGTTTCCATCTCGCGTATACCAATATGCTGTGTGAATGCACACAGAAAAGTGATAACTAGCATATTTTTGGCGTTGCACATAAGGCCCAAATCAATACCTGTAGTGCAACATCTTTACTTAGAGCAAGGTTAGGATTTTCAAATATTTGCCCGAATGGAGCATAATATACCTTTGTTCTAGTATTAACCAGGCAGTGCTACTGGTACATACTCTGCCACCCAACAAGTTCATGGTCACCAGAACAAATCTGAAAGAAAATCAAGCCAGAGTCACACAGAATCATGCATTTTGTAAGAGACTTTCAGGATCATCTAATCCAGCCATCAGCCTTGCACCACCATAATCACCCTTTAACCATATCCCTGAGTGAGAAACCTGGAGCACTTCCAGAGAGGGTGACTCCACAACCTCCCTGGACACCCTATTTCAATGGTTAATCACCATTCTCAGTGATAAACATTTTTCTAACATCTAATTTGAACTCTCCCTGGTACAACTTTTCACATTCTTTTTACTAAAAAATGACAGAAGTGACTGACTCCCACCTCACCACAATCTCCTTTCAGGTAGTTTTAGAGAGCAATGGGATCTCCCCTCAGCCTCCTCATTCCCTTTCTCTTTCCTTTCTTCTCTCCATCACTGAAACAGCTTCCTTCTTTGTATAAGAATAGACCAACATTCAAGAACGTTTTAGAGGTGCTGCTTTGCCCACATCTTCTGCTTCAAGTTCTTATCTGAATCTTTAGACTCTGGTATCACATTCCTTTTACCTGTATTGTCAGGGATAACAACCAATGACACAAATTGGATCAAAAGGTCTTATCTTCAGTTGTCCCTGATGTTAGCACTGACCGGATAGATTTAAAAAGAATGAATGGATAAATATGAGGCTTCAGAAATTAATCCAACTATCAGAAGTAATAATCTTGTTTTCACAATGGACATTTTGTTAAATATAAAGGAGGTTTATTTTTTCTGGAGAGAGTGATGAACAAGGATTCTTAATAACTAAATACATTCTTTTCCTTTTTTTCTTTTTTAAATTAAAAGAGGAGAGAGAGAAAGTGTATGTTTGTTCTCATACCCCTTATTCATAATCTCATTTCCCAGTTCATCCTCAAGCGAGCACATTTGGTAGATTAAACCTCCACTAGAAGAAAAAAATAATATTCCTACTTTTTTCTCTTTTTATAAACGATCAAAACTAAAGCATATCCTGAAAAGTTTTAAAAGAAAGCAGCTTCCCTTTACCTACACACAAAAGAACACTTAATTAAAAGTTACAAAAGGACAGAAGAAAAAGCAATAACACAATATCAAAGAAAATGTGGACAAGAAGCAGACGTTCACCCTGAGATATTTAATATTTTAATTGGTTATCTGGAAGAAATAAGAAACTGCATGTTATGAGTCTGAATCTAACTTTATTAAATTCAGTGGCAAAAAGCCCAGTGAGTTCAATGGGGCCAAGATGAAGCTCTAATTGAATTAGAAACTGACTTCAGATAAAATATGCTTCCTTCTTCCCTTCATCTTCCCATTTTAGGAAAAAGAAATAAGAAAGATTTATTGAAATTCATCACAGAGGCAGTCAATTGAGTTTGTTTTGACCTGGATCAAAAGAAATAAGTATTCATGAGGCGAGTATGTTTGACTATGAATTCATTTAAACAACAATACTGAAAACTGAGATTTGCAGTAGAACTGACTACTCTACTGACATGTTTAAAACCTATCCTGCACTAAAACCTGAGGTGTTTAACACCTTGGAGACAAGGTAGATCTATTTAAACAAAAAAATATGGAACTGTCCTCTAAAAAATAAGTGAAAATGCAAAATTAGTTGATAGGAAAAGACCCCTGTGTTTTTAATCCACTCGGCCAGTTAGCATTTGCTGTAAGCTCAGATAAGGTGCAAGTTCACATAAGGAAGAGCCGACAAAGGAAAATTTCTCTCCCTTTTACTTGCAAAGGCAAGATGACTTATCAGTTGTTACTGGTGAAGTAGCACCAATAATACACTAGAAAAAGACCTCAGTTTCCCTTATCCAACACCCCTTCAGGCTCTTTTTCCTCCAACTGATACTGGTTACTGCCACCCCTTTGACCTGGGTCATCTGTGAGAATGACTGCGCTGAGAGGAGGGGTGGCTGCTGTGTAAGGCATATGTTGTGAAGCATCTCTTCTTCTGTAGGGATTTGCTTCCAGCCCTCAGAAGGAGTTCCCAAATTCTACTGGAACAGCAGAATTGAAACATGGAAAGGCAGAACCAATATCAGAGACTGCCTTCAGCTGGAAGGTTTCAGATACTGTTACCTGAAGCTGTGAATTCATCTTAATGGAAACTATTTTAAAACTAATTGCCTGTAAGCACGGCACTGTAGTTGTTCTTGCATAGTTCTCTGTTAAATTACTCATGTAAGAATTATTCCTTCTCTTTTTAAAGGTAAACATTCATTAGATTAATAGGGAAAGTCAAAGGAGTAAAGAGGAGTCCTATTCCTTGGACCACTGGTTAGATGCCATTTTCTTTCATGTGGCAGGCTAAGCTTGAAACTTCCCGGATCAGTTTCAGAGTTTCATGAAAATGAATGCAGATGAACAACCACCTACTAATAAATTAGAAGAATGTCAGACAGCCTTAATCTGCCTCTCATGTTTCTTTTTTTTTTTTTTTTTTTGGTTGGTTGTTTTTTTTTTGGTGTTTTTTTTTTTTGTGGGTTTTTTTTGTTTTTGTTTTTTTTTTGTTTGTTTGTTTTGTTTTTTGGTTTTTTTTGATAGCAGAAAAAGACACCCTTTTACAGCAGTGGGACTTTTGTTTCTGATGGGCTGAAGAGTCTAAAAACTTTTAAAGTTTTTCAGATGAGGCTGTTTCCTTCTCAACTCTCCTTGCAGTGGCACAGGCTTGAGGAAATGACAAGTACCTATCTTTCCTTTGGTTTCTGTCATGCTTAAGCCAGAAAAGGTTAAACTATACAAGATTTCAACCAAGATTCAGCTTTGAGACATTAAATACCTTTGACTAATATCCATGAAGGAAGATTTAAAGACACAGAAACCAATAAAAAAATACAAATAAATTTAGGGTGGAGTTTCCTTAGTCATGAGCTGGTTGAACAGATATTTCCTAAACATCATGACATTTTAGTTGCATCTTTTTTTCCCCCCAGAATATAACATCTTCAGAAAGTAAACTGATAAGCATTTAAATAAATTGAAATACATTTTGTAATGCCAAGCATAAAATATTCTGGAAACAGTTTAAAGCCTTCCTTCGTATTTCTCTGTCCAGCTTCTTTGTGTAATAGCAGTCCAAATACTTGAAGCATTAGCATGGGCACATTTGCAGTTTTCAGCAAGCTGATGACTGCTTATTGCTCTCTGGGGATATACAAGCTCCTGTGTTTGTAATAGAATATCCATGTACCTGGGAGATATGCATTCTAAGTGATGCCGCATCAGAATATTGATAGCATATGTCAGCATAAGCACCACATTTTAGCAAATTAGTCAGTATTAAACTCCACAATATGCATGACTTGGAGTGGGGAGAGATTAATGACTTTTGTTCAAACTTGAGCTTTCCACAGATTTTTTAATCTAGAATGAATTTCCTGCTGAAACCAACAAAGGTAAAATGATGTAATATTCTCATTTCATGTTTATTTGATTTATGAATTTTATGAAACTTCAATAACAATCTTGTAGAAGGCTTGCATAAGCATCATCCTTGCATGTTATGATTGAAAGGCTATATCAGCACTGAATTCTCCCCAAACAATACATTAACCAAGCAGTAGATGCAGAGATAAGCATTACTATTATTATGAAAGAAAAAAAAAATCTGCTTTATGCCTTTGCTCTCCCTTTCTCCTTCACAATGTTTGCTATTATTGTAGAAGTCAGCATATGAAAAAGAACAAAGGAAAGCTTTTTAGAGGTGATCTGTACTGCCTTGTCTCTAAAATGTTCTTTCCTGGGGTTCTGTGGATTGCATCCTTCAATGTGACATTATAAAACATCATTGTATTTTCCCCATTTTTCAAGCAATGCTCTATTATTATAGTACTGACTTGATGTCATAGCTATGCATATGCTTTTCTAGGCTCAACAGGTATTCCATATTGTAGTTCCTGTGATCTGTATATGATCTATATATGACCTACAAAATAAGTGAAGTAGTGGAAATTGTTTGAACTGTGTTTCTAACACCTTTAAACAGCATTTAGGAATTTAGAGGAATGTAGAGAGTCATTAAATATCAGAAATAGATTAAGACAAATTAATTGACTGTTAGAATACAACACCTGATCCAGGTCTAAAAACAATTTCCATAAACTCATTAGAGAATTTGCAAATTATTCCAAAGGAACAGAAGTGGCTCTGCTCCATATTATGATATACATTAATTTTAGGCACAAGTCTACTATTATGTATTTACTTACCACTGCTGGGGTTTTGCTTTATTTTTTTTCCTCATCGTCCTCCTTTGATTTCCACTTTCTCCTCAATAAGCTTTGAAATTGAAGACAAGGACTGTTTTCACATAGCAAAAATACAACCCATGAATTGAAATGTTGGGGTTTTTTTCCCACCTAGCAGTAGAAGGCACCACGTGGCTCTAGTACTCAGATTGTTCTTCTCATTGAGAAAATGGATTAATAATCTGGTGATGAAAAGTTTTTTTTCTTTCTTCTGATGCGGCTGGTATTCAGCACTGACAAAAGTCAGCTTCAAACTGGATAGCAGATCCTGAGAGGCTGGAGAGCTTTGAAATGTTGATAAATGTCAAGGGGTGAGGTAAGATAACAAAATTTAAATCTTCAGAACTTCATTCTCAAGTTAAATGTCTGAGCCATGGCATAAAATAAGAAACATTTGATAGGTGTTTATCAGCAAAGACGTTTCAAGAATGATAAAGAAAATCCAGACAGAGTGCTAGAACATATTTTAAAATAAATTAGCTACCCTCTAACTTCTACTTTAATTTGGTAAAATGTAAAGACAAATAAAAGGCAATACAGCTACATAGTTAAAGGTTAATTGAAGCAAATTTTTCATCACCCACTGACTTCTGCTATTACTGTCATATCTGGAGGTGGGTTTTGTAGTCCTAACAAAAACAACAAGAGGTCTGTCACAAAGAGCCTTCTGAATTATCAGCTCAGCAGAGGGTGTTGAGGCTCAGAGGCTGGATGATAAAATTCTGATTCAGGAGCTCTGAGAGAGAAATTTCCTATTTAATTAATTTCCAATTTAATTAATTGGCTATTATGCCCTCGGTATGTCACAGTTTTAAATCATATGCCTTACAGTGAGGAAACCAGAGGGACTAAAATTTTGCAGTATTTCAAGGTGTATTTACTAGGTTCAGAATCACACACCATACTTCTGAACACTTTCACTACCATGATCTACTTATGTTCCTTCTTAAATATTGCATCTTATACCTCCCGTTTAAATGGATTGTTCATAACTATGCACAGATTGTATAGAAAGGAGCTTCTTGAAAATCTGTTTGGTTAATTCTGAGATAGAAGAAGCACTCATTTTCTCAAAGCATTAAAAAAGTTTCTAAATGTTCTCTTACTTTTTACTCCATAAATTCCAATGTGTGTTTAAAACTTGATGCTGTATAAAGTTTATATCCCTCTTGAGATTTCCATAAAAGTTTATGCCTGTTGAGATTTCTCTTTTGATCAAATCCAATTGAATAATAAAATCTTAGAAAACCAAAGTTGTGCAGAACTTCCAGAGTAATCTCCTATTTTAATTTTTATGCATCTGTAATCTAATAATTTTTAGCAGCACACTGTGATCCAGATAAACTCTAATGACATTTGACAGACTTTTTATAAATCTGTATAGTGTATGCCAGCACAGGAAATATTTTTTCTTTTTGAGTCCCTGTAAGCTCTTGAATTGCAAAAGAGATGCTACTCTGATAGTCACATGAAGGCTAAAAAGTTTGTATCACAAAAGGGAGGAGTAAAACTAAAAATTCTAGCTGAGTTAAAGGAAAAAAAATCCCAAGTCTGAAAATTGTAGCATATTTAATAAAAATGTCACAAAATCCTTGCTGCCTTCTGCTATGAACTCTAAGTTTTCCATGCTAACATCACTCTCTTTTTCAATCATCAAAGAGATGGTGATATTAACACATGGAGATGGCATGTTGACATTTTCAAAATGTAGGATTTAAATTATTTCTAGTGAAATAATATTTGCCTAGATTAGTGTAGACTTTTTACCAAGATACTAAAAGCTAACAAGATACTAAAATCTAACAAGATACTTTATGTCACTGAAGTTATTCTCAAATGACAGCACAAGTCTCTGGGCCTGGATCTTGGCCATGAAACTTAGATAACAGTTGAAGAAATTATTCCTGCAGGCAGAGCTGTAATGTAGTGTTTCATTACTAAAGTGGTGCCAGATATGCTCAGAATATCAAAAAAATTCACCCCATGGGTGTTTTCTGCACCAAAACCAGTCAGTAGAATGTGGGAGTGAAAATGTTGGAAAGAAATTAAAAATGTCTTCCATTTGGCAAGGAAAACTCAAAATGCAGAGGCTTGTCTCTGAAAAAAAAAGAGAGAGTAATTCTTTCTGATCAGCAAAATCAGCTGTGCTTAAAGGATGTCAGCACCTTACAGATTTTTAAATGTTAAATTTGAATTTTTTAGTTGTATAAAAATATAAAATCACTCATATTCCTGAGCTGAACTTTATCTTATGATAATATGAAATTTATTTTAAAAATGAAGTCTAGGATTGGGCTTGTGTAATAACCAAGGGTTCAACTGTAACTTCTGAAAATATTATTGTTGCTTTGATCATTGGGAAAATATTCTCACTTTAGATTTCTAGTGTTCTCTTTCATAATTTTACTTCTCTTTTCAAACTTACATGGATCACCTTAGTATAGAGCATTGAATTTTCTTTAAATTGCTGATTTTTAAACAAAGGGAAAGAGTAGACAACTTGTGTTGAAAACTCCTCTAGCACTGACAAATGAGAATGAAACTCTCCTTCCCCAGTAAAAATTATATTTTTGGCTTCATTAAAGATGGTGGAAATCACTCACTTACAACAAACTGATTTTTCCTAAAACCTTCACTGAACTCAGAAAAATAGCAGGATCTAGAAGGAGGATGTGACTAAAGCATGAATCAGGCACTGCAGTTTTACAAGTAAAATCTCAGATGAAAGGTGTTTTCATTTAGTGATGCAGTTAATCCAACTGAATGGTTCATTTAACCAGCATAACATTTATCTAGCATCTCTGCAAAAAAAAAAGCACTTTTTTTTCACAATAGCTGCAGCAAGAACCACAGGTATTTTCACATCCAACTAAACTAAATACCAAGTGATTTCTTTCTTGTAAAGCCACCATTTTTAAAAGTTGTTAAGTCTGTCTATTATGTACCTTTCTGGAGGACTGACTGAAGAATGAAAACTTAAGAGATCTAAATAACTAGAAGTTACATGTAGCAGCACAATACTACCCTCATATGCCCAGTAAGTCCTTGTCTGCCTACATTTATGCAAGAAGTTTTTAAGTCCTTCCAGAGGTCTGAATAGAATTGGTACTCACAGTTGTAGCATCCTTCTCCTTGGGACGAGGAAGGTTTCAACTACAGTTTTCCTTTAACTAAGACTGAAGAGATGAAATGATGCTGCAGAGTGTTGGTCAGGACTGTTACTTTGGTAAAGAAATCTAAGCAGTCTTGTTCTTTCCATTTTTCATCATGGGCTTCTTAATTTGTCTCTTCTCCCAGTTAGGATTCATTGATTAAAGGAGAGAGCAGCTTCCATTTTTTTCCCATATTGACCTTGTTTGGAGATTGTGGATCAGCACAATTCCTTTTCCTGGGAAAGAAAATGGATGGAAGCAGCAACTCCTGCTTCTTCTGGTAGGTGATGTTCTTACCTTGCTGTTCTTACCTTACCTCTGCCACACCATTGGCAGGTGTTTGCCAGGCTGTGCACTGTTTTAATAGGTATGTGAAGGAGGCTAGGACAAGAATTTATGTTGTGTGGAGATACATACTAATATAAATGCAGCACAGAAGTAAACTTAGAAGTGCTGGACATGGTTTGACAATGGTGTAAACTGGGAGAATTAGAATGGTGGATGAACACTGAGGTATGGATATCACAGGGGCGTTCATGCCAACACATGGAGGTAGACAGCCCAGACAACACAGATGCACAGTCATTAAAACACAGACCCAGTATGCCCAGTATTCCCTAATGAGCCCATCCTCTTGTCCATTCCAGTGCACCTACACAGCTTTTCTTTTTTTACATAAATTGAGAATGATTAGGATATGCTGAGATCTCAGGTTTTCATTTTGCCGTTTATAGGCAAGGTATGATTAAGAGATTAAGACGTCTCTAAAATGACAGGTGGGAAAGAGGTGGTGGATTCAAGGGTAACACAAAGGCAGGGAGCTGGTAGGAATTCAGCATTTTCAGTGAATTTTGAGGTGAGACAGGAACAGAGCTATACTCTAAACTCACTGTGGACAGAAATGAAAAGCAACAAGTGATAAAGATGTAAAGTGATCATCAAAGAGTAGAGAGAGATGATCCTAAGGTAATGATGATGAGCAGTAGAGTTGTGAATGTAAGACTTCACATCAAGTGCTGAGCCACAAATAAGGAGATATTTTCAGATCAGATATAGACTTCTATCTTCAAAACAGTTTTGAATGGTGCAGCTTTTGTCTTTAGTATATGCCTTAGTACTTCAGCTGCGCTCCCTCAGTTGAAATATCTTTGTGGTATCAGGGAGATTCACACATAAAGCAAAAGACACACACACAAAAAAATTTTGTTTGTAGGACAGTGTTCTGTGAAGTATCCTGTCTTTCAAGGCTGGACATGAACAGAATGCTTTTATTTGGTGGTTAAAGAAATTATCAGTCATAAAAATGTTTGCAAATTTGGGAATAGGTATTAGCAAAAGTCCTTTATATTCTTCTTCTAATTATACTACCTTTCTGTGTTTCTTTTCTTTGTCTAATTTTTTTGAGGGGTGTGGGAGGGTGTGGGGGCTAACAATTTCTCTTTAACAAGAAACCTTCCTACTTTCTCTTATTCCCTCTCACAGGCTACATTGTTTATAGGTTCAAGAAAATATCTCCAGCATAAAAATTGAGAAAAATTGAAGGATAAGATGCTAACATTTATCAGAGACTTTTTTTTTCCCCAACCTGTTTTTAGAACTGTGAAGATAGAAAAAGTTTAAATAAGGATGATTTACAATATGAACTTTCTGAGTTTTTTAAATGATGCTGCAGAGAGTCCTTGGTAAATTGCAAAGGCCATATTTCCCAGAGCAGAGAAAAAAGGTTGAGTGTGGCTGTTCAACTATCATGCAAAAATAAAAGTATATCCATCATACTACATCTATGGAGGGAAAAAAAAATGACCACAAAACTATAAATAATATTTCAATGCACTATGATAACAAAACCTCATTTTTAAAAAGTATGTAAGAAATAACTATACTGTCAACATAGCTGTAAATCACCCTCATTGCACCAAACAAAAAATTATCTAGTAGATATAATTCGAAGTTTTAGTTTACGGCAAACATGAGCTAAAATGCATGAAGCTAGGACTAGCAGCTCAGCTAATCAGTAATTTACTGTTTTGTACAATATTAACACATACAGCTGCCTAAATTTAACCCAAACTTCGTTTCCATAAAATTTAAAGCTTGTTTGAACTTCCTTCTGGTTTTAAACATGCGGATTCATAGTAATTAAAAATACTGATAGAAAAGGAAAACTGCTTTCTAATACTTTGAGTTTCATAGATCACATTAAGATCTATGTGTGATAAGAAGAAAATATTATCTTTATTGTTTGTGGTATAGTGGACTAGGCTATTATTCCCACTGACTGTACAAAGAATTCAATTACTTGAAATTAAATATTTTACTTATAGTATTTTATCTGTGTTTGAATTATTTGTTAAAAATATTTTAATAGATACAATTTGACCCTGTTACTCCACTATACCTGTATTTTGTAATAACAATATTTTTTTGTTTAAGGGTATACCTAGATATTAGGCACTATGTTTCTAAAGGAGTTTCCAGGATCAAGCATTTACATTCTCACTTTGCTTGACTTGTTCAGTTTACACAGCATTTTATGTTTCTCCATCCTTTCTCTGTGACACAATTAGACATTTTTAAAAGAAAACAAGGATGTGCATGCAGTATAATTATTAATATCCATGTCTTCTCAAGTTCAGTTCTTTCAGTTAACACTTCACTGGAAAAATCTTAAAATTAGTTTTATTATGTACTGTCTAGGAGGGACTGGTCAAACTCCGTGTTACAGTGGGATTTAGGCACTTAGTTATTATTATACAGTGACTTTAACAAACAAGTTCAGCATTTTTCTGTGTGAAAAATATAATTCATTCAAAGTTAAATTTATATTTAGATTTTTCCTTATTTTATACACTATATCCAATACTAAATATCTATAAATATACATACAAGTGTCTGCATGTATATACATTTAATTTAGCAAATCTTGAATTCTTCCTTCATTTTATAAGGGATGCATGGGTGCATCCAATTTAAGCATGGATGTGGCAAATATCTTAACATCTACTTAAAAAAAGGATGATGAGCTAGGACTTGGAAAGGTTAAAGAAAAAAACACTCATAAATCACATGAACTTGTGAAGAGCTCCTGATCTGGAAATGAACTTTTAGCGCATACTGCAAACCCATGTAACTGAGGGATGGCTCAATGACTCTCAATGACTGCAGAAGATAGAGGACTGCTTCTGCAGCTAATATGTGAAAACAAACAAATTATTCAGGCAAAAAAAAATAGTTGTAAAATACATTGTAAATATAAAAGTTACCTGTAAGCCTTCTTCTCAAGTCACTATTATGTCACAGTTGTAGAATTTAGATTTTATGTATTTTTAATTATGCAAATGATATATTATATATTTAAATAGCTCATACAGAGCACCTTATATTTTTATGTCAGTCTTTTAGTTTTTCTTTTTTCTCATGTACTTATAGTTTAGGAACATAGATGGAATTATTTACACTTTTTCTAATAAATCTAGCAACATTTTCTGCAGAAAAACCTAACTACCATGAATGACACAAGATGATTCAGAAGGAGCAGAAATTTGTTTTGGGAGAGAACTTGAAAGATACACTTCAAATAGATAATGAAAATGTGATTCTATGCATGGTTATTGAGTTCTTAAATGAGGAGGCTTTCAACTTTACAAAATAGTGGCTCTTCAACCTATAGTAATTCCTTGAAAATTTGACCTCTCAAATTTGATTTTGGTATTGGTCATTAATACTTACAGCTTGAATTACAAACATATTTTTATCTTGCATTAGGAAAGGGTTTATGTCTGTATTTCTAAAGTTGGAACCATAAGATTTGTGTAACAAAAAAAATCTGCTACTCTCCTGGACAGAAGTAAACTTCCTAACTATTGCCATGGAAATAAATTAGTTAAGAGTACAGAATGGAATACATAGATTATCACAAACCTTTTAATTGAAATTAGGTGATCAACCCGTTATGAATTCATTTAAATCTTAAAAAATTAAGATCTGTTGGGTAATTGAGGGATGAGAGGCAGTTGATTCTCTGCTATATCTGCGTTTCAAAATCCTAGAAACTACATTTTGAGCTTAATCTCCTGAATTACACAGAATTGGTAAATTAGGTAAAAGAAAACATTGCATTAAACTCAAGGTACAAAATTATTATACATTGTTTTATGTATTTTTATATAAAAGTTACAAGTAGCAAGCATATGACACAGAAATGGAACAGTAACAGCAATAACTGTGAATGCATGCTTTTTACAATGTATCTAATAAAGGGATTTTTGCCAACTCAAATATTCAGTAACATTCATGCAGATTAATTTCTCAATGTCAAATTCAGTCATATTGCTAGATGCTTATCCAACAAACGTTTCTATTGAAGTGATTATGAATGGCTAAATACCTGATTTCAATAAATTGTTCCTGAAATTGGGAATTTTACTTGCAACAAAAAGAAGAGAGAAAAACAAAAAGAGAAATGACTGATAAGCATAATAACCAAAGTCTTATTGCCTTCTAGTAATTTTACTCAACACTGCTGAATTATTTCATGATAAGAGAATAGCTGGTCAGAGTCCATAAAACCTCTAGCTGGTGTTTCCAAGGACGATAGTTTCATATTTCATTGTAGCATGTTCAAAATCACCCAGGAGCGCACTATTCTCAAGCAGTCTATATAATGAAAACAACGTACATATAACAAAAGTTCAATGTAAATCTTCTTCTACATATCACACAACATACAAGTAAATAACAGACATAAAACAGGTCAACTTAAAGAAAACTATGACTTAAAAAAATTAAAATAAATAAAAGGACAGTCTCAAGAACTAATCTCTTCCTCAAGTTTTCAACAAATTTCCAAACACTAAGAAGCACTTTGTGGCCAGAAACCAAATTACAAAAGAAATATATTTTTGTGCAATGGGAATGTCTTGACAAGGAAGTAAGATATGTCTATACTCCTTAGGTTTGCATAAAGGCAATTAAATTAAATTAGATAATTGTCCAATCTCTTTCAGAGAGTTGAGATACTTCATTATAGATTTTTCCATCCAGAGTTTGCATGACTGCATGAATAATTGTCTGAAATCAAAACTAAGTTAAAATATGTTCTCTCTGAGGAAAAAAAAAGCAGAAAAATATTTACTTAAACTATCTCCAGGCAATAAAACCACCAATGGATTATTTCACTGTAAAATTGCTTTATACATATATACACATAAAAATGTATATACACATATCTATGCTTATATATACACATATATAAACCGATAGACTAGCAGCTATCTATAAATCCAATATAAATATCTGAGATTATGTTTATTAATTGCTGATAAAAATTATGCAAAATGAAAAGTCTCGGTAAATACTCCAAAAAGTAAGTTTAATTTGAAAACATTAATCCTAGTGCTACAGAATATTAAATTTATCAATACTGACACACACTCTTTCCCCAACACTTCACAAGACTGGATGAAAAATAATTAAATGAAAACACATAGTTCCACATCTTACTGATTTGAATTAAATTGCCAAGTATTACATTCTATTTCACATGCTGGGGCTCTAACTTTTATTTCCGTAAATATTAATTAATACATAAGCAAATGAAATTCAAGAGTCATGCAAAGCACAACTTCATAATGCAGTTGGAATGAAGATAGTTTTTGCTATGGGCTGACTGTAATTCTGTCAAGAATAAGGAATTGACAGATTTTGCTTAGTTTGCAATGCTAAAGTGATCATCTGGCTTTCATTTTTTTAACATTCAAACCCATTTCCGCACAAGATGACATAAAGTTTGAGACCTAATATGCTTTTTAGCAATATAACAAATAAAATGGAAAGCAACAGATGGTTCAATTGCTGTATAGGTATGTTTACTTACCTCAGGTTTTTCTCTTAGACCCTAGTTGTGTTGTACTCAGACTCATGTTTGCTTAGAGACCCAATGAGGCAGAACCTGGAATGTTATGGCTATTTCATTCAAAATAATAGAAAAGTTCTTTTTCATAGAAAAAAGAAATATATGCATATAGATACTTTATAAACAGTACACTTTGATAATCTGTTTGATATTCATGAAGTAATTTACACAGACATGCAATTGGATTAAAACGACAAAATAACTTTTTTTTTTTTTTTAAGAGAAAGAATTGCCTTAATGTGCAAAGAAAATATGGAGGTCATGTAAGCAATAACAAGAAATGCATAAATAATGCATGCAAGAGAAAGCACAAATATATTAAAAAAAGGGTTATGTGTTCTTTTTCAAATAAATTGTTCATAAAGTTTTTAGTTTTCTTTTTCTTTTACTTGTAAACTTTTAAAAATATTTACAGTGATTCAAAGTGCAATATACAGAAGAAATAGCTCTTTTATTAAAAATATTATTCTTGATTTTTATTTTTTATTGATAAGAAATATTAGCTTTAAAGTCATTTTTATATATAAATACATATGTGTTCATGATGTTGTCATATTTGACAAACCAAAACACTGTGATCAATAATGGAAGAGATATAGTAAAGTTTTGGAAATAGCGCCATGCATTATATAAAAGGTAATGTTCCATGAGGAAAGTGGTTTCCTAACCCCAGGACTCTGTTCCTCATTTTTGTGTCATGCATCAAAATGGATATATGTATAATTTATTTAGAGATGGTTAGACCAACAGTGGATGATATTCAAGGCCACCTCTGTTACAAGGAAACCGCATGTATGCAGCTATTGTAAAAATCTAAATTCACACAATCTTCTTTGGTTTATAAAAATTGCACCTGTTCTTGGTTGACCTATGTGTGTATGCATGTGGGTATATGTAAAGCAGTAAAAGAAAAAGAAAGAAATTAGAAAAGTAAAACAGAAATACAAGATCCCTCAGGAAAAAGGAGCAGAAACAAGAAAGAGAGACAGAAAAAGAGGTAATGTAATGGCATGTGCTATCAGGAAACAGAAATTTAAAGAAGAAATAAAGAAGAAATAAAATATGTCTTTACTGAACAAAGAGTGAATATTTTGGGCAATCAAGTCCTTACACGATAGTCTTCATCAAAAATCTATTGATACTGACCGCTGAACAGCTTTATCATGTCTGGACAGCCTGTGACTTGTGGTTGGCACCTCTTCAATTTCGTCTATCTCGCACGCATCAGCAGCATCTTGTGAGTAGCTATGCTTCATGACAAGGATATTTCTCCTGTTCATGGGCTGAACAAGTGGTTTTACAGGCTGGGGTTGTATTTCTGTCAAGACAGAAGCATCTCTTGTGCTGAGGTTACTACGGCTGCCCTTAATACTAGACACTTGTGATCCACAGTGATGGTCATGAATGCATTTTGAAGAGGATCTCCGCAGTTTATGATAATTTTCAAAGTCATCTGCAACGTCAGCAAGGTCAGCTGTAGTCCCCGTCCCTCTAAGGGTGCATAATTCATAATGAGGAGGCTCAAACACCTCCTGGAATACTGTTTGATCAAAGTCTGTTTTCCTTTGGACAAATTTTTTACGAGGCTGCTTGATCTGTACTATAATAGAGATAACAATGAGGATGATCACAATGCAAGAAGTCACCCCAATTATAGTCCCACTGGTATTGGTAAGTTGGTCCAATAGGTTTGCTTTTCTTTTTTCTGTGAGACAGGGAAAAAAAAAAAAAGACAAAACAAAACAAAAAACAAAACAAAAACAAAACAAAAAACCAAACAAGCACAGAATTAATTGCAGTTCAAAACTAAAAACAGCTATGATGGGTTCACAGATTACTACAAGGTTCAGTCTATTTCTGAGTTCACTTAATCAATCTCACCAACAAAAAGAAAAGAGGAAGAAATCAGATATTTGTGAAAGACAAAGAAGCAACACACAAATCATTTGTGTGCCTATTTGCTTGGAAACTTATTTATTCAGGGTATATTGCAAGTTTAATTAAACAAAATATTTTTTTTTTTTTATAAAAAACGATGACCATAACAAGCAGATGGCTTCAGTGTCACCTCTGAACTCCATTTGGCTGCTAAAGCCCCTAAGACTTTTACAGATGTTCACTTCATTATTTTCTCTCTCTCCCAGTAAATATATGCAGCTAGGACATTAGGTCCTATGAAAGAACAAGATTTTACAGGATTTAAGATCTAGTATTTGTTAGCTGAGTGGGAATTTCGACAGCATTCAATGAAAAAGCTAAATCAGGAGAAAACAGAAAAGTTATTAAAATTTAGATTTCAGAAAGGAAAAAAACATAAATTTGTGCAAGATATTTCTGCTTTTTTTTCCCCCTATTAATTACCAAAACCTTTCTAAACAGCCATAAAAATCCAAAAGCTGATCATACCTACTACCCTTTACTCAGGAGCCTCTAATAAATTAGTCAGCAAATTCTGTGTTATGAATAAAGCAGAAAAATGCTGTAAAATAATAAAATAAAAACAGTTTCCCCCACATCTTGTGCATCTCTGTCTGTGATTGGCTTTCCCAAGGCTGCAGACACAATATGGTGACTGAGCCTTGTAGAAATTCAAGTTGAAAGTGTTTGCATCAGTCTCTCTCAGGCATAGCAAGACAACTGTGGTTAAGTTTCAACACCCAGTTTAGTGTAATTTTTCCTGGCAACCTAAAACATATAAAAGGATCTAAGAAAAAGCCTTTGAAATTGAAGTTATTGGCACCAAAATGGTAACATTCATCTCTTCAAAATATCCTAGTTACCAAAACTTAACTCTTCAGTAGATCATTGTCTAAGCTTGTAGATTCACTCTATTTCTCTATTTGACTGACACAGACTCTGGAGAAAAAGCAGAGTTAGAAAAAGAAACACTGCAGAAAACATTTTTGCTGGAATCAGCAAACCTCCTTTTTGCAGTCAGAAAAACAAGAGAGGATAAATGCACAAGACCTGATAAAAGATACTTGACAGAGAAAAGACGAAAATCACTCTGGAAATTCAAGAGTGATTGAGGTTTTCTGTTTTCATCTATTGTGAAAAACAAGAGAATGAATAACCATTTCCCAATTGTCTGTTTAGTTTCTCTGAAGAATATTATGCTATGCCACAGTTTAGCTCTGTTCTTTTGAAATATATGATTTCATTTTTGTTTTACCCTATTGCACTGCTTGTCAGGATTTTACAGGCTTCAGCAGACTTATGGGCTGACTGCTAATCCACTTCATTCTGAATTTTTTTCTTGATTGGTTCCTAAATTTGGCATATCCCATGCTTTTAGGAACAAATTTGCAGTAAGGGGGAGACAGGGGGGTACAAGACAGAAGTGAACTGTCTTCCTAGCCTGCAATGTAAGTTTGTCAAGCTCTTCCCTGAAGACGACACGGATACTGTTTTGGGGCTTGTTAGTTTAGTTTTTGTAACACAACCACAATAATATTTAGAAAACATTGTCAGTACATGGGTAGGATACATCACCACCTGCCTATGAAATAAATATTATATCTGATTTCCAGATGTAATATTTACAAGCCTGTTCCTTGCACTTCAATTTCTCTTGATTATAGGTTCTCTTACAGTGTTAATTCTACTTTCCTTTATGAGACTACCTGGGCTATATGGGCATATCATGCAGCTAAAAGATACCTGCTACTTATATTTACTCCACTACCAAGGTAACTATGACAAAGGAACCAAAATATTCCATTTAATTATACTTTAAATTGTATGGAAAGCAGAGACCAAATTATCAGAAAGCCTTCCAGAAGTGCATCAACAGACAGCAGGACACAACAAATGCAACATCAGAGCAAAAAAATGAAAACACTGAAACTAAAATCCACTGGCATTTTTTTACTTTCCTTCGTTTTCTCTGTTCTTTAATGCATGCTCTCTCTTTTAAACTTTTCCTGAGTTTTCACCTATTTGGCACATACTAAGCAAGAAACTGAGTATTAGTATTATATGCTGTATCTCATACAGTGCAAATGACAACTTTTTTCAATTCCACATGTTACCTTTGCAGTGGTTTTCATCCCAGGGATACACACAGTTCTGGAGTCCATTGCAGACAAGTGTATTATTTATACACATATTACTGTGGCAAAAAAATGTGTTGGCTTCACAAGGGGCTAAAAATGAGAGAAATGATAAATGATATTAAATTAGCAACTCATTCAACTCTCCTTTACAAACACATCTAGGAGTGGACATGTATTCTATAACAGGACAAAGCTATACAACGTGTTACTTGGGCATATTAAATATTTGACATGCAGCATGGAGAGCACGCAAGTCACAGACTGTTCATTATTCTGTGGCAAGACGTTCCCAGTTTCATCTAAAATGACTGAACCTTCCCCTAGTATGACTCTGCTGGATGTAGTGTGTTGGATTCCAAACACTGTTGGGAATTACCAATGTGCTATCAACAGTTTAACCACAGATCCAAAACATATCACCCTATAGGCTGCTACAAAAAGAGTTAACTGTATTCCAGACTGATACAATGAGTGACAGAAAACATCTTTTAAAGTTTTTGCTGAAACCTCAATTTTATAAGAAAACTTGCGTGACTCAAAGAAGATGTGTACTTGATGGTACATGTCAACGGTGTCTGACCCTTTATACACAGAGAAAGTAAAATTATTCTAAAATTCTTTTAGTCATAAAAAAGGCTACATTTAAAAAGCATCCTTTTGATCACAAGTATGAAGATAAAGAAGCACAACAGTCTTCAGTGTCCCTGAAGCCCATGACCTAGAAGAATCATGCAGATTAAAGCTGCAGGAAAATGTTTTTACTGATGGCCATGTACTATTACTGTGAAGAAACTGCCTGAAAGCTTTTGGAAGGTACTGAAGATGCTGCTAAACTGTGGTGTTTACAGAAGTATTGGGAGATCGTTATGTGTTGGGGTTGTGAAGCTATTGATCCAAATGTGCATTATATAGTAGAGATAAATTACTCCTCATATCTCTTCTTTAAACAAAAAAGACTTCCATAACTTAGAAGAGCTACAAACTTTGTCAGTGTTAAATTATCAAAAATGAACTTCTTATGTATATTTAGTTCAAGCAACCCAAAAGTGTTAATATATTTATTTTTAAGGGAAAAATAAAAGTAAACTGAGACCCCTAGCTAATCAGAAAGCAGTTATGATGTTCATATTACTGGTACTTCGAGTTTGATTCTTCATGGAAATTGTTCTCCTCTGCAATTTTAGAAGCAGTTCCTATGACAACATAAATGCATAGCAGAAAGAATGGTTTAGTGGTTTGCAAACGAAGGACAATACAAAGGATTTGTATTGTACAACTTAATGACTCAATAGATCACGCCAATAAATCCGCTTACCAATAAGTGTTTAAGTTAAGCTATCCATAACTGGCTTATTTGGGGCAGTTATGGTGTGTTAAGCAAAGAGTAAATGCCATCAAAATCAAAAAGCACACCCCAAATATGCAACCACTCATTTGGATATAACACTGTACATATACTGTATCTCTTAGCCAGAAGACATCAACCAGCCTGTTGACTGTTCAAATTTTGTTTTTAAATCTGGTATACCATCTTCTGAGGTGCAGGGAGCCTGGTCACATCTTAAGTTTGTTACAGAAAGGATTCTACTTTGTGCTGGACAGACCAGAAGAGCTCATGTGGCTATTAGAAAGGGAGAATGTTTCAGGACAGTCCTTATCTATCTGTTGCTGTCATTTGGGGACGATGAAGGCTGAGCCTGGAGGATGCTGTGCCGCATCATGATGTGACACATAATGTAGATAACACATCAGAGGCATAATCATCCTTTCACACTCTAGCTGCAATCCCTGTTTCCAGGCAAGGTGACGATCTTTTGGGATGTTTTCCATGCAGAAATAGTCTCACTGCCTACTCTGAGCAAAAAGAAGTGAGAAACGTAAGATCTGAAGAGGCACCAATTCAAAATACAAAGTGTACCAAAAAAACGACCCAAATATCAAACAGAGAAACTTCAAGGAGTGACACAGGAACAACGGGGAAATATTAAAACAAAAACAAACAAACATTTGCAGGATTACAATAGGTTAGATGATTAAAGCCACAAAGAAAAAGCAAACAAACAAACAAAACAAAACAAAAAAACCCTGATCAAAACACCAAAAAACATTCAGAGTGGCATGATGGATCTTAGAAATGAAGTCAGAAGAACAGAGTGCTGTCTGAATTCAGAAGTATAGTGGCTATAAGTAGAAAAGGAGAACTAAAGGAAGAAAGCAAGGAAGTGAAGTCTACAGGAAAAAACAATGTCAATTGGTTATTTCATTCTGCACTAAAAGAAATAGCGAGATTTTCTATAAAATAAAAAATATTAGGAAATGTTCCATAGATGAAAGAAAATAAAGCACAATAAAAAAGACCTTTTTTCAGGTTTAAGAAGAACGAATAATTATGCAGAAATGTGACAGGGACATCTGGAAACCAAAAGCAATAGAAAAGAGGAAAAAAGAATGAAAATTTAAGTTTTCTTAAATTGTGCTATTGAATGGTGGACGGGGAAGAAATGGTATGTGAATAAATGTCAAAACAAGATGAATAGTGAAGCAAAGCAATTTCAGAATGAGTACAGCAAACTTAGCATGAGATAAACCCAAATGTAAGATTCAGAAAATTAATGACAAACCCCTCTTGTTCATGTTTGTAAAATTTAAATAGCCAAGTCCTCTCTGTGGTCCCATGAATATGGAGTGATTAAACTGGACAAGAAGTCAATATATTTCCCCTACTCTAATTAAGGTACTTTTTTGGAATGGATGAAAACAGAAAGGGAAGTTGAAAGCTTGTCAGTCCTGTTGTACATTGAAGGAATTTGATTTCTTGCCCAAAAAAAGGCTCAGCAAAGGAGTCTTGGGATGCTACATCAAGGACATTCTAGTAATATAAAAAAGATAAATGAACTGATGGTAAACCAGATTCTTTCACAGCAAGATGGATCTGGTCCTGATGCAGTCCTAAACCTGTTACAGAACCCAAGATGACAGTGGAATCAAGCAATATGTGACAGCAAGCTTGTGGATGTTTTCACAAAAGGAAAGTACTGCTATCATTAACTTCAGCTAGATAAAGCAGCACAAACCTCTCCACACACCAGAAGCTGTACTCTATCACTCCATGGTCTACCCCATCACTATAGAAATGCCCTTTTTATGAGAGAAGACCAGGCATGCAGAGAGCTCACCCAGGTGAGGAGTCAAGTGACTTTTTGGTCATGATTAGTGGAAAGCCCAGTGGAAAGGTACTAATATTGTACTTTGTGTCTGGACTACTTGATGAGGAACAAGCAGATAATGAAATCTTCTTCAGGCAGTTGGAAGTAACCTCACAATCACAGGCCCTGGTCCTCCTGGGGATTTGAACCACATGATATCTGTGGAGGGCAACACAGCAGCGTACAAGCAAGCCAGGAAGTTTCCAGAGTGTGTTTATAACTTCCTGACACCGGTAACCACGGAGTTGGTGAGGGTAGTTCTACTGTTCCTCATACTTTTGCAAACATGAGTCAGTTGGGAAGGTGAATGTCAAAAGCATGAGATGATGGAGTTTGGGATGCTGTAAAGAAGGAATAAACCAAAAAGCACAATCATAATTCTGGGCCTCAGAAAAGCAAAAGTTCACTGTTGAGGGGTCTGCGTGGACAAATGCCATGGGAGGCGGTCCTGGAAAGATACAAGTTCAAGGAGAGTTGGTTGATTCTGTAAGATCACCTCCTCCAAGCTCAGCAGTTGTCTATCTGGACTGGCCAAAAATCAAGAGAGGGTATCAGTTATCCCGCATGGATGGACAATGAGCTCCTGACTAAGCTGAAATATAGAAAGGATGTATATGAGTGGTGGCAGTAGGGAGCCATGATCCCAGCAGAAATATGACTTCTCTAAGTGGAAGGGGCTGAGGTTAGGGAATATTTAATCAACTGGACAGAGATGAGCTCCTGGGTCCTAATGTGATGCCCCCCATAGGTGAGTCACATCATTGTGAAGCCACTCTTGACTATCTCTGAAAAGTCCTGCTGCTTCAGGCCTCAAGGGCTGCTGGGCAAACAGGACCTTCAAGCAGATCAACAAAAGGAAATGCAAAGTCCTGTGCCTTGGGAGGAATTTCATGCACTGGTATGTGTTAAGGACTGACTGACTAAAAAGCAAGCTTGCAGAAAATGTTCTGGTATGCAATAAGGTCACTTTAAAAATCACCTTGAGCCAGCAATGCGCCCTTTTGGCCAAGAAGGCCATCACTGTCCTGGGCTGCATTAAAAGCAGAATTGTCAGCACGCTGAGGGGTATGATGCTTCCCCTCTATTTAGCACTGGAGAGACCACATCTGCAGTGTTGTTCAGGTTCTGGGCCCCTCAGCACACAGGGGACACAGATGTCGGCAGTGACCCCAGCAAGAGGCCATGAAAGCCTTTAAACGCTTGAGATATTGGAGGTGAGAGGAGAGAATGAGAAAGCTGGGATGGTTTTGAGCAGGGTCTTGTCAATGCATCCAAACAATCACTAGGAGGGAGTGAAGAATTTTATATAAAATAATAGTTTTTATAAAATCATATATACAATATTAAAAATACCATTTTCATTCTGCATTATTTTTAATGATAATATTTTCTTTTTATGGCTGTGAATGCTATGTGTAAGAACACCTTGTATCTTAATATACAAACAAATTGTATAGCTCTTGAATTCATTATAATGCAACATCTCCTGCTTTGCAACAGCTATTTACACTGACCACAAGATGGTGTTCTTATCCTAGAAGATATATAAGGAAGAACATTAACAGGAATGGACATGATATCCCAGAGTCTTTTTCAGACATAGGAAACCTATGTTTTAAAAATCCAGCTATAATAATAACAACAACTCTCTGTTATCAAGAATGTAAATATATTCTGTTTCTAGTACAAACTAGGAGATTGTTATATTATTCATATTTCCAGAAGATTTCCACCACAGTATGCAAAAAATCTTCTGTTTGGTATTTGAAGGTTATTGCTTTCAAAATTCTTAGAAACTGAACCAATGTAGTTGCCTGTGTTTTCTTATTATAAGAATGGTTTAGAAATGCATGTTCCCATAATCTACACTTTTTAATTTATTAA